GAAGAAAATGTGGTATCGCCCACGTCGGACGATGAAACATAGGCCATTCTTAAACCAGCAGATGCCTTCAAAAGGAAATTGTGGCAAACGAACATACGATAACTCATAGGTAGCAACCAACAGCATTCCTATTCTAGTCAGGGTCAGTTACATAGTTAAATTATCAATTTCTGTCATCCAGTTTCCTAACATTTTTGTGATGCATCTAATTCTTTTCAAAAAGATCTTGAATTGATAAGATGGCAGAAGCAACAATCACGCAGTTCATGACTTGTGTCAGCTATTTGCTTAAGAATTCGTGGTGTAAGTGATAAAGTTGAGATTATTCTAAGGTTTTTGATGCAATTCGTTATGGCATAACCGTCATTCATCTGAATCGCAAACATATATGGAAAGCACCAGTGCTGGAAAAGTTTAACACAATCTGCATTAAGAAAAAAAAAAAAAAACCCCACGCCAGTATAAGTCGTCACGACAGAGGCCAAGTCGAAAGCAAAAAGGCTACCTTGATTAGTGAAAATGATCAAAAATGTCCTTTTCTTGTTTCTTTGTTTAGCGCTATATTTGGTAAAGAATGTACAGAAAGCTTGAAAATTGTATTGGATGACTTACTATTGCTCGAATCTCTTCTACCATACAATTCCATTCGCAATCTGCAGGCAAAATTGCACTGAGTGATATATACTCGAAAAAATCTTCCATATATGGATGGAACCAACCAGTTTGTACCTGCCATGTGTTGATCTGAATTTGCATCATATTCCTAAGATAGAAAATGTCGCGCTAAGAGTTATTTAGGAATAAACCTTTTTGCGGTTTCAGATCTTAGCCACTCAAAAATAAAATCAATTTCCCAAAAGATTCAAGAATCATTTAAAAAAAAGCTAACAGGGACGGGAGACAGGGGACGAGAAGCAAAGTTTCCTAGCACATGACCCTTCCGTCCCGCATTCCTTGTTCGGGGAAACGGATGGAAATAAAGATGAGAAAAGGGGTAATGCTACCTTTACTCCATTGTTATATTCAAAATACTTCCAGTCATTTCCTTCAGAACTGTACGCAATTTGATATTTCGTTGGCCACTGGATGTGTGTTGGCCTTCCTTGGGTTGCAATACATGTTACTTCTGTTTCTTCCCTTAAATCGACCTTAGAAGTAAAACGTATCACAATCAGCTCGAATGCATGAAATCCTGACAAGGCCACAGCACCCTTAAACTTCCAATCGAAGTATTCAGGGTAATAAAGGAGTTTTATTTTACCTTCTTAATCAGCGAGAAGTGAAAAAGAAAGAGGGAGTAAAATTGTTCTCAGTTTTATCTCAAGAAATAAAACTTCCTCCCCAGCACCCTAACCTCCTACTTCCCTTTCCTTACCTCCTTTCACAACAGACCAACCCGAGACTGACTAAAGATTAACAAAGATCGCAAAAACCAACTTGAGAATTTGGCCTGCACTTGTTCAGGAACACTTATCAACGATGATTACCTG